TTTGGTTATATGGTTATGTGGTTAGTGGTTAGTGGTTATATGGTTATATGGTTATGTGGTTAGTGGTTATATGGTTATATGGTTATATGGTTATGTGGTTAGTGGTTATATGGTTATGTGGTTATGTGGTTATATGGTTATGTGGTTAGTGGTTAATGGTTATATGGTTATATGGTTATGTGGTTATTTGGTTAGTGGTTATGTGGTTATATGGTTATATGGTTATATGGTTATGTGGTTATATGGTTATGTGGTTATATCGTTATGTGGTAATATGGTTATGTGGTTATGTGGTTATATGGTTATGTGGTTATGTGGTTATATGGCTATGTGGTTAGTGGTTAGTGGTTATATGGTTATATGGTTATGTGGTTATGTGGTTAGTGGTTATATGGTTATATGGTTATATGGTTATGTGGTTATATGGTCATGTGGTTATATCGTTATGTGGTAATATGGTTATGTGGTTATGTGGTTATATGGTTGTGTGGTTAGTTGTTATATGGTTATATGGTTATATGGTTATGTGGTTATATGGTTATATGGTTATATGGTTATATGGTTATATGGTTATATGGTTATATGGTTATATGGTTATATTGTTATATGGTTATATGGTTATATGGTTATATGGTTATATGGTTATATGGTTATATGGTTATATGGTTATATGGTTATGTGGTTATATGGTTATATGGTTATATGGTTATGTGGTTATGTGGTTAGATGGTTAGATGGTAATTAGGTTATTTGGTTATATGGTTATGTGGTTAGTGGTTATATGGTTATATGGTAATATGGTTATGTGGTTATATGGTTATGTGGTTAGTGGTTATATGGCTATATGGTTATATGGTTATATGGTTATATGGTTATATGGTTATATGGTTATATGGTTATATGGTTATATGGTTATATGGTTATATGGTTATATGGTTATGTGGTTAGTGGTTATGTGTGTGGTTATGTGGTTAGATGGTTATATGGTTATATGGTTATATGGTTATGTGGTTAGTGGTTATATGGTTATGTGGTTATTGGTTATATGTGGTTATGTTATGTGGTTAGTGGTTATATGGTTATACGGTTATGTGGTGAGTGGTTATATGGTTATATGGTTATATGGTTATATGGTTATATAGTTATATGGTTATATGGTTATGTGGTTATATGGTTATATGGTTATGTGGTTATATGGTTATATGGTTATATGGTTATATGGTTATATGGTTATATGGTTATATGGTTATATGGTTATATGGTTATATGGTTATATGGTTATATGGTTATATGGTTATTTTATATGGTTATATGGTTATATGGTTATATGGTTATATGGTTATGTGGTTATATGGTTATATGGTTAATGGTTATGTGGTTATGTGGTTAGATGGTTATTGGTTATATTGTTGTTTGTGTATGTTTAGTGGTTATATGGTTATATGGTTATGTGGTTAGTGGTTATATGGTTATATGGTTATATGGTTATGTGGTTAGTGGTTATATGGTTATGTGGTTATTTGGTTATATGGTTATGTGGTTATATATATGGTTATGTGGTTAGTGGTTATATGGTTATATGGTTATATGGTTATGTGGTTAGTGGTTATATGGTTATGTGGTTATGTGGTTATGTGGTTATATGGTTATGTGGTTAGTGGTTAATGGTTATATGGTTATATGGTTATGTGGTTATTTGGTTAGTGGTTATGTGGTTATATGGTTATATGGTTATATGGTTATGTGGTTATATGGTTATGTGGTTATATCGTTATGTGGTAATATGGTTATGTGGTTATGTGGTTATATGGTTATGTGGTTATGTGGTTATATGGCTATGTGGTTAGTGGTTAGTGGTTATATGGTTATATGGTTATGTGGTTATGTGGTTAGTGGTTATATGGTTATATGGTTATATGGTTATGTGGTTATATGGTCATGTGGTTATATCGTTATGTGGTAATATGGTTATGTGGTTATGTGGTTATATGGTTGTGTGGTTAGTTGTTATATGGTTATATGGTTATGTGGTTATGTAGTTATGTGGTTAGTGGTTATGTGGTTATATGGTTATATGGTGTTTTATATGGTTATGTGGTTATATGGTTATGTGGTATGTGGTTATAGGGTTATGTGGTTATGTGGTTATATGGTTATGTGGTTAGTGGTTATATGGTTATATGGTTATATGGTTATATGGTTATGTGGTTATGTGGTTATGTGGTTATATGGTTATGTGGTTATGTGGTTATATGGTTATGTGGTTAGTGGTTATATGGTTATGTGGTTATGTGGTTATATGGTTATGTGGTTAGTGGTTATATGGTTATATGGTTATATGGTTACATGGTTATATGGTTATGTGGTTAGTGGTTATATGATTATATGGTTATATGGTTATATGGTTATATGGTTATGTGGTTATGTGGTTATTTGGTTATATGGTTATGTGGTTAGTGGTTATATGGTTATGTGGTTATGTGGTTATGTGGTTATGTGGTTACATGGTTAGTGGTTAGTGGTTAGTGGTTATGTGGTTATATAGTTATTTGGTTATGTGGTTATTTTGTTATATAGTTATGCGGTTATATGGTTATGTGGTTAAATGGTTATATAGTTATTTGGTTATATAGTTATGTGGTTATATTGTTATGCGGTTATGTGGTTATATGGTTATTTGGTTAATTTTTATGTGGTTATATCGAAAATATGGTTGTCCGCTATTATATCACAGTTTATGGATGTATAACATTGACAGTTGTGTGGTTTTTCAAGTTAGGACGCATACGTGAGTATTTTGGATGCTCTCAGGTGGTTATATCACACAATTAAAGGCAATGTAATTGTTGTTGTGGTGTTCATTTGGTTTTACGTGCAATTATTTTTCGTTGCATTCAATAATTTTTTTTCCTTTAAGGAATTTTTTTAAAATTTAAAGTTGATAGAGGTATAACATATCAAAATTTGAAAGGAGGTTGTAAAGGCAGGTTGCCGATATATTCACGAATGAAGATTGCCACGAGTTCCTTTTAAGATTTATTTTTCGTAATACTGAGCAAATGTTACCGAAAAAAAATTACCGAAGGCGAAGGAGACGCGAGAAAAATACGTCTAAAATAAAGCTTGAGCGGTTATATCGTTTGAGCGCTAAACATCGATGCGACAGGATCGAATTTCAACAAGATCTTCATGGGATTCTTATTTATTGCGTTTTTTTAGTTTTTTTTTCCAGAGGAACATATGTAGAAAGGTGAAACAGACGGGCCTATCTTTAGTTGATTCGGCTAGCTCGGATTTTTAAATATTATATATATTAAACATTTTCCCTAACTTTTTCACGTACTGACACACTTTCCATCAGCAAGGTCCAGGACGTCAACGTATCTCAAACCACACGCTACTTGATCCCTAAATTAAGATTTTGGATTCGGAACAGGTTCTCCATCACACTGTCACGATAATATAGACAAATTGTTTCAAATTATATTGCTTGGCTAAAAATGACTGGGACCAGTTTCAGTGATATATAACATTTATTCTTTAATATAATGTTCGTTTGTACATCGAATATATATATATATATATTGTAAAATTTATTATTGTTACGCAAAGCTTTATTGTGTTTAGAGATATGCATATAAAAATAGCTGCAAAAATAGAAATATCAAGAGCATGACAGGGATTAGTGAATGTTTTTTGCCACAAGACGCCTGAGTAAATATAATTTTCGGCCATTAGCAAACATTAATCGCCTTTCCCTTTCATGTATCACATATCGTGGGATTAAATAAGTAATAGGTGAAAATATTTATAATCCTCTCAGAACTAATACCTGGATAAACAGTCTTAAGTCGTCACTTATCTTAATGGTCGCATTCTTTAAAAAAAGTGTGCGTGCTGTAGGCCATTCAAGTTCTTATGTCAATCAATTGTGGTAAAAATGTTGCTCGGTCAAGCATGTAATAGATTACGTCATCAAAAGTTCAATTCGATAAAATAAGAGTGAAAATAGTTTAAGTTAAAAGATATTGTTCACAGACGTATTGTTGGTATATTTTACTAGTTGGTGATGATGAATATTTTAAGTTGTGAACATTTTTAAGTATTGATCGATTGAGCAGAAGACCAACTCGACTAGTGCGACAACGCCTTAAACAAACAAGATATGAGAGCTGGAACGAGCTTCTAAGACCAACCCACATTTCTAACTTACAACGCTGATTGGTTGGATAAGGATCAGCCCACTCTGGTTGATGACGTCTGCAAGTTTCCCTCAACCGTTACTATAAAAGGGCGTGCACAACACCCTAACCTTCAGTGGACTAGCGGAGTAAAGATTTAGTTATGAAACGCTAGAAAACTCAACGACAGAACCAATGAAGAAGACAAGAACAATTTAAACGACGATCAAGATCAAAATTTGAAGAAGAGAACATTAGCGAACTTTAGTTAAAACCATTGTAAAGATCTCGTACCTCGCGTATCAATTAAAGAATCTTATAACATTATTATGCGGCATGCAGAAGTGTTTATTGCTTTCTCTTCCTTTTGCCACTTGGTTCATCAAACTTTGATAAGTCATCTCTGAGTTTCGACAGTTCTCTCTTCTGGCGACCGTTTATGACTTTGGGCTTCTCTTGTATGTCTTGACCTTTTCCAAGCCTGTTGTCTTTAGGTGACACTTCCTTGTTCAAAAGATCATTGACAGAGTGTTCTAGAAAATGCCAACATCAGTTATAGATTTTAATTATAAATTTTATAGCTTTGCTCTTTAGAATCATCTTTGTGCACTGTAGAAAAGGGAATGTTAGAACGCATATTCAAATCTCAAAAGCGTATAATAAGTCAGACGGCGCCAAAACATCAAATAAAATCCAAATGTAAACACTGACTGTAAACAGAATCAACGCATGTGCATTACCCATAATGCGTTACAGTGGGATTAAAACTTAAAATATGTCAAGGAAAACCTTCAATGCTAAAAAGAATATGAAACTCACCATGAGGTAAAACGTCATTTAAATCTTCAGATCCAGTTACTCCAGTTTCAGATCCAGATTCAGTAGCTATAAATATTAACCAGTAAGTTAAAGTACTAATTTTACTTTTATTTAAAAGTTCATATGGCTATATCGGAATATTCAAATTTAACTGACCAGATATAATGTTATTTCTTTCAGATGTAGTTTCTTCATTGGAAGCTATGAATAGAAACCGATAATTAATATATTTAATGCATATCGGTATTATCATTTTAAAGTTGATACTGAACATTGTTTTGGGAATTAATTGATCCTTTTTAATGACTATACCCCATAACAAACTTTGTTAGTTTGATTGTGTGATCACATAGAACCTAACTTTTTTCAAATCCTATTAATATATATTACCCTACAACTTACCAGCATTGTTCACAATTTCCGTAGCACAATCACAATTTGTGAATGCATTTTCCTCGGATCCAGACACTGTAGAAATTAATAACATATTTATAAAAATATAGATATTAATTAAAGTGCCTGAATGTACGCAAATATATATAGCTCCAAAAGGTTTGCCAATGTAACTCACCATGAGGTATAACGTTACTTAAATCTTCAGATCCGGTTATTTCTGTTTCGGATCCAGTTTCAGCAGTGTCTATAAAATTATATTTTTAATTTATAAATTTTCGTGCGCTTTTATAGAATACAGGCGAGTTAGCATGTGGGAATATTACGAAAGGATACAACCATGTATCTAAATATGATTTTTATTTGTTACATACAAGCACAAACCTGTCAATTTCTTCGACAAAATGTCATGCTGATTGTCCAACGGATCGAGGTTGGCACCTTCTATGCCTATATATGGCGATATAAAAATATACTGGTATTCAAATCATTTTAAAATTGATGCAGTGAACAGACGTATTACTTTTCATGATGGTAATACTTACAGGAGATTAGTCTGTTTTTCAGATCTGTCTCCAGTTTGTCGAGGAAAAAGGCAATCGACTTTTTCACTTTCCTCCGTGGTTCTTCGCCTTTTGCTAAAAACTGTGTCGTTGCTCGATTCCCTACCCCCAATTCTCTCTCTTCTAGAAAAGTTCGTATCCTTTCCTTGCTGTATGGACAGGGACCGGTGAGGTTAATCGGACAGTCCTCGAATCGATAAAACCACAACATCTTTCCATTTATTGTTCTGATTATACAGAATTCCGGCAGCTATACATGAAAAAGCCACACAAATTAAATGCGTATACATATGGTCGTATAGTTTCATGTAGCTACATAATACCATTAATTCGATTGGTTGCAAGTAAATGAATGGTGACCAGTTACACACGGTATATATGCAGTTAACATAATTAAATACACGAGCAATATATATAATGGAATTAAGTTCTACATGCAGTAATGAATACCTTCTTTAGAACTTCTGGGTTTTGGCACTTTTCAAAAAACCATTGCACAAATCCTTCGAGAATGTTGCCTGCACAAACTGATTCATCATTTTTCTCAAGGTTGTGACTACCATTTTTGTTACCAGCAACACCTTTTGTTCCCTTGCATATCTAGAAATTTATACATATCATATTTTATACACGAAATGACATGCATTATGATTTACCAAAAACTCTGATTTTTATGTATCTCAAAAAATACAACAGAATTCAATTTTAAAAAATATAGCCGGATTAATAAATTTGTATTCTTTAATGCAATAACGACAGAGCTCCGATATAGATAATTATTCTAAAATACGTAGGTTTATCTTTTACGCATGCCATCATATGCAGCTAGGACATTGGAATGAATAAGGAAACTATATTATTGCTAGAACTGAAAATTTCTATATACCTGTTGAAATGCATTTCTTTGTTCGTGGAAATAGTCAATTAATTTTTGCGCAATAATTGTCGATTCCTCTGATATTTCCAACGGAGTTTGAAAAGGTTCGTTTTCTTCGATACTGTCCTCCGCCTCTCTGACCACGAAATGTTTTAATGCCGACAACAATACATGAACAACGCAGCTAAGCCTGTGTAAAAAAAACCTTCATTGCTATATAACACCAAAAACAGCGGCAGAGTCATAATTTTTTGCACTTACGCATCTCCGTGTTATATCTCGTCATGCTTATATTATAATACCTTATGAAATTTTTCTTATCCTTCGTATTGTCAGACGCGATGGTATTTGTTTTCCACTGCTCGTTCATCGTGTCCGTCATCTTGTTGGAAAACGAAATATAAATTTCTCGAGCTTTAGGGCCGTACGCGTACTCTCTCGTTTCAGAGATACTACGGTGTTCCTCATAAATGGCTTTGTAAATTGCTAAAATGTAAAGAGGAATGGTGGTGTTTATGCAGAAGCTTCAGTGATAAATTTTGTGCGTATTTAGCTTCAATGCGTATATGCTAATTATTTAAAATAATGAACAGTGTAACGCTGGCAATGGTGACGAATACTGGCAATTAACTTACATTTGAAATCGTGCACGGCATACTCGTCCAACTTCTCGCACCAATTCTCTATTTCGTTCTCTCGTAGGAGATGCGGTTTCACCGAACAAATGAGAATTCTATCAAGAAATCCGTCTCGTTTCTGCAGTAACGAGTTATAAAGTTCCAGAAATGGCTCTGGCTGGGTGAAACCTCCCAACGCCAATGCGCTGCCTTGCACGACCTCCCTATGTTCCCGATTTTCCTTCTCACTGTCGTTGGTTTTCTTCCCCGCACTTGTCACCACCCACTCAGCCCTTCCGTCATGGAGCTTACAGAAAAGCTGGCGTTCTCCCGATCCCTCATGTTGTCTACGTAAAATAAGTTCGTAAAAAGAGCTCATCTCAGAATGGGCAAGAAGAGCTCTTCCTTCGTGGCAGCGTAGATGATCAAACAGGCCTTTACGGGTAAAATCATGAAGGATGACGGACCTTGCTGGTTCGGGTAAGGAGCGTATAGGTGTTTCCACCGCCAGTTCAAACGCTTGTGATTTGCCTGCACCTGGCTCACTCAAGCACACTGTGAAAAGGTTGCACGCTTCATGATACCTTTCACGAACTTTCACGGTCGACGTCGGTCCCATTAATGTTGAAATAGCTGAGATTGCTCCTATAAATAGGAATTCCGGTCGAGTATTGACTGAGTAGGCCATTGCGCTAAACCAGTCTTTGGCGCACTTGGGAAGAGCGTCCAACGGAAACTCGATATCCCTTGCAATTTTTATTGCATGCTGCAGACTTTCACGGGAGACCTGTGACAATTGATGGTTCATATAATTCCGCTTCATTATAAAAACAATCTATAAAAATAATTATTTTTAGATTAATTATTTATTAAGACTGGATAAAATTGATGAAATGGGTCAATTGTGTGTTTTTCAGTTTTCGTTTTACTTATTAAGATTTCTTTCAGGTTTATAAGACACAAAAGACCATTAGCTGCGCATGTTACCAAACGTGCAAATTAAATATAAAAAGTAGCATAAATATCCATAAATAGCAAGAGTTTGGGCAAGATAATCAAGGCGTAAGTCTAATAAATTTAGAAAACTGAACGATGTATGCAAAATGCGATTCGAATTTTCATTATGGAATTAATTAATTAAGAAAATTAAAAAAAATTCAAATCTTACCTTTACTTAATCAACACTTCAGGAACGTTCAATATTTGCCAACGTGATTCTTTTGAGTTGAGATGTTCGTTTACGTGGTGACAACGTTAAACTGATAACACACTAGACATGTTTGCGCTTATATACGTTCTGTGGTCTTTGAACGAAAGAAAATCGAAAGTGGAAGCTCTAATAATCCGCTGCGCGCGCAAAATTCCGCCTAGCGGAAAAGAGGCTTAAGCAGTCTAGGCTATCGTAATTATTCACACATACTTAGACATTTTGTAACGGAAAGATTTCTTGCACATTGATAATGATTTAATTTCTTATCACATCAAAGCCCTAAAAATGACGCTAAATATTACGTGTAATATATATATATATATATATATATATATATATATATATATAGATATATATATATATATATATGTTATTTACCAGATTGGAGGCCCGTATAGGGAAATATATCCCAAGGTCTCAAAAACAGCCCGAGGCCGAAGGCAGAGGGACGTTTTTGAGACCGAGGGAAATATTTCCCTATACGGACCGACTAAACGGATAAATAATAGATTTATTTTTTTCCTGCGGTCCGAATTTATATTTTAGCGTTGGCTATGTGCTTTTAAATCTCGAGCGGTCCGTATGGCCTCATACGGACCGCTCGCGTAGCCAATCAGATTGCAGGAAACGCTGAAATATGAATTCGGACCGCAAGACCTATAAGATGTTCTGTTTCCGAGTGACTGTTATAACCTGTATGAGGGGTGATTAAATAGTTATAAATCTGGATATCCTGCACGACCGTCTAAGTATGTGTGACTAATTTCGATATCCTAATTCATATTTAATGAGCCTAGTCAGGCCGTCGCTAGAAGTTTAATTGGGGGGTGATGTACCTGTTTTGATAGAGCATGCAATTATTTGAACATGAATATATGAATATAAACCCTCTATTAAATTAATCCTCTGGTGACTGCCATGAATAAGATCATTAAATATACTTAGGGTATCGAAATCACATACTTAGACCGCATTTGTTTCAAAAGAAGCAAAGGATATACAAATTTCTTGCACATTAGAATCCCTCTCATTGCAGATTATAACAGTCATGCGGAAACGGAACATCTTATTAGCTATCACCATTTAAGTCGAAACGGTGTAAAGAATCTATATTAACAGTTTAATAGGCTTATATATTACTATTGATTGCTCAAGGAGTTTGTGCTAAATGAGGCATCGGTGGCACTTGTAACCAGGTGCTTTAATAAATCACACATACGGACTCGCCTTTTTTCAGCTGACCTCCATACAATAACTGAATGGAACGTTATATATTTTACTATTAAAGCGCCTGGGTACGAGGCTGGTGAGGTAGGTTTAACCCCTAAGGGTTGGTTCCACCCATGAAAATTATCCTCCTGAACGGATCGAACAATACTGTTCCTTTTTTTCTTGATGCAATTAATTTCGGTTGAAAACAAATGGACGAAAAAAAGCTCTTCTGCCCAATACGATCCGCAGGATAATTTTCCTGACTAGAAACCAGCCTTAAATGGTCATGCTGTCACAGCAGTGCCCTGTGCAGGTGGCTGCAATAGGCGCAAAGCCTTCGACTTACATATATATGAGAATGCATGTAAGCATATACTGAGCTTTGGTGTTTTGACGTAAATGAACATATGAAGCAGACAAATTATCGACACTTACGCAATCAGCAACAGAACTTTTAATCACATTAAAGCCCTGAAAAAGACGCTACATATTATCTATAATATATAGGATCGGTTTCCGACATCGGTATATAATGTTTCGTTTCCGAATGACTGTTATAACCTGTATGAGGG